CCCAATGTGGGGCTCACAACCCTGAGGTTAAGAGTCACATGCTCTACCGACTGAGCCAGCCAGGTGTCCCAGTATTATACTGACTTCTAAGAAATTATGTCTAAAAGTAGGTTGTATCATCTTGAAATTTCATTTTATAAGAGCAAAGAAGATGTTACAAAGTATTTGTTACTCAAGGCCCACTGAATCTGATGAATAAAGGATAAAAAACCACTAGTCTGTGAAAAAAATCAAAGTCTTTACTACAACCTTTGCCTTCACTATTCTCTGCTTGAACCCCACTTCCCCCACAACAGCACACACATGGGCACCATTCCGGTACTTTGCAAGGCTGGCTCCACCTCATTCCATGGCTCCTCCATCCATGGCGGTCTTCTCTGAGCTCTATCCCCCATGCCTTTACTGGCTTGCACATACTACATTTGTCTCTTTCCTAGAATTTGATACAATCTGTAATCATTTTTATTTTTTGTATTGTCTACTTTATCCTTTAGAATATAAACTCCACAAAGGCAGAGAATGGTCTACCTTGTTCACTACTGTATCCCTATATTTAACAAAATGACTGTGGCATATAATAGGACATCAGTAAATATTTGTTGAATAAATGAATTCATGAATACACTATAATAGACCATTACCAAAATTTCAAAAAGTGTCAATTAGAAAATAAAAACAAAAGAACGAAGTTGATAAAATGATACCAATAAGTTTAAGCAAATTAGAGATATAAAGAAAATCACTTTATATACACAAAAGAGCCCCCCCCAAATTATATAATTTCCAAACAAATAATGGGGCGAATATATCACATATTAAAGATAATAAATATAAAATGACATTTCAAAAGGTTAAAACCGACTGTATGTCAACTACAAAGGAAATATATACACAAAAGACAGGGTACAAAAAAATGGGCAAAAATATATCAGTCAAAAAAAAAAGGGCAAGGGATTAAAAGAATAATGAGATAAAGTCAGACTTTAAAGTAAAAAAAAATATGAACTACAACCAAGAGGGGATGCTTTATAATGTTTATGGATACAGTCCTTAAACTAGGATTGTCAAGAATGTTTATAAGCTAAAAACTCTGCAGGAAAACATACAGGAAGTACTGGCAAAATTAACAACCAAAAGGCAATGGCAGATTTTAATGTTTGCTCAGTCACTGCTCATATGAAGTAGTCAATCAAAATTTAGTATGTAAAAGGTGATCTGATTGTATGTTCCCTTAAAACAAAAACACAACAACAAAAGTAAAATAGATAAACCAACAGCATAATACAGAAATAAGGGAGAATGCCCAAATACAAAAAGTTAACAATAAAAAGGGAAAATTACACAAAAAAATTAAACACGTTCTAGGGCCACACTCTGCAAAAGCATATGCTATTAAATTTGAAAATTAAAAGTGATTTTAGGAAAGAACAGATTGCCAAAAATTCACAAGGTAGGAAACTTTATGAAGGACATAACCAAAGAAGATATGAAGAATGCTGTCAAAGCAGCCACAGCCAGACACATGCATCCATGAGTTTTCGTGTTCAAATCCTCAAGGAATTGAATATTCTCACAAGGAAAGAATGGGAAAGGGAAGGAAAAGGACAGGAATGATGGAAGGAAGGAAAAACAGTACTTCTGTTTGGATGTATCCAGCATCACACCCAAAACAAATCCTGAGAAAGTAAACAAAAAAGAGAACACTGAATACTGAAGCAAAAATCCTTAATATACAGGAAAAGAATCCAGAAATATAGAACATAAAAAAAGGGTTATTCTAGGAGTGTAAGGACAGTTCACTATTAGGAAATCTAGTAATATATTTCAACATATACTAAGTCAGAAACAACAAAGATCTTAATAGATGCATAATCTGTCAATTTACCTTCCCAATATCTCCAGATATATACAGCTATTTCATAACATAAAAAATACATACACATATCCAGCATGTAAGGTGTGTAAGAATATTTGCTGCAGCATTATTAAATACTTAAAAATCCATTTATCAGGTACATTTATATAATGGAACACTAAATAGCCATATGGCATTATAGAATATCTCCAACAGAGAAAAAGCAAATTAGAAAATTAGAAAAATAAACATCAAACAATTTACACAACTTACTTCTAAATGTGTAGGATTTTACGAACAAGCATATATGGTTACTTTTATAATCTGGGTAAAAAAAGTGAAAATCCTCATCTTGTCCTTATAAACCAAGTAATAAGGAGATGGGAAGAGTTTAAGCCAACAAAGGCCATATAAAACAGCAAATGAAAATAGGGATAATATTAAAGAATAGAACTTTAGAAAAAGATAACGCAAACAGGAAAAGGCTGAGCAAAGTTAAAACAGTGATATCCACAAAAAATCGCAACAGGGGACAGAAAATAATGGCTTGGTATAATGTTTAGTGTGAGGATTACAGCGGAAATTAAGTATACTCCTAAAATTTCTCCAATGAAATTTTACCAAGAAAACCTAGAGGTCCATGCTATTCTTAGTGAGCTACTGCAACCTCAACATTTGCCTCAAATTACACATCTACATAACACAACAGATATGCTACACCATGCTGCCATCTGCAGAGCAGACTTAATACTAAAAATTCCCAGAGAATGTTTTGATTGATAAAGGTATCAAGAAAAATGGTAGGGGGAACTAAAACTAGTGCTATACTATATTAGAAAGTGAAGAAGAGAGACAGCAGGTGGAATCAGCAACATGGTAAGAAAAAGTCATTATAATACTTCAAGCTGAAAAATCAAGAAATAAAAATATAAGCATATTATAAGGGGAAAACCACTCAATTAAAATAAATCCAGTTAGGGGCACCTGGGTGGCTCAGTTGGTAAGCGTCCGACTTCAGCTCAGGTCACAATCTCACGGTTTGTGAGTTCGAGCCCCTCACTGGGCTCTGTGCTGATAGCTCAGAGCCTGAAGCCTGCTTCAGATTCTGTATCTCCCTCTCTCTCTCTCTGCTCCTCCCCGACTCACACTCTGTCTCTCAAAAATAAACAAACACTAAAAACAAAAAAATTTTAAGTAAATCCAGTTAAGTATGGCCACAAATGAAAGGGCCTCCAATTAGTGAAAGGAAAAATGTATCTGCTTTTCATTGTAAGATCTTCCTATTGGAACACGTGATACTTGTGATTTTTTTTTAATACTGCAAATTGCTTTCAAATGGATTAGCTATGCCAAAGAATAAAGGAATCAGCTATTTTTTTTAAACTTGTAAATATCTTAAGGATCAAGTCCACCACTATGTTTTTTCAAAGTGTTAAATCAGTATGACAAGTATAAAAGTTTTCAAAAAGCAACTCAAGCAATACGAAAACTGCTAAGCCAAACTTTCTTAAATGAGTATCACTACAGTGTATAGAAGGTCACTACTACCTTATTGACATACAGAAAGCTTACTTTATTTATTAGAAAGTGCAATACAGAATAACTGGAATGCTTTGAAATTTTTTATTTACAGTAAAAAACATTTATTGAGAACCAACTATATACAAGGTACTCTCAATCATGATTTTCCAACAAAACACAACATTCTACTTCCTAAAATAAATCATGGTCATCTGCGTAACTTCAGGTTGACTAAACTATCTACAAGCACCAGAAGCCTAATATCTGCAGCCAGATAACAAATAAAAGAAAAACTTAAGAGCTATTGCAAAAATTGCAAAATCATAAGACATGTATGGGCTACTAAAGGGACAAGAATTACATGTGCATTTTTATACAAAATTATTCCTTCAATAGAAACTCTTTTATTTAATACAATAAACGAAAGTCACTAGGACTACCAGGCATGCATAACAATAGTTTCACTATTTGGAATTTAATATTACTTTTGTATTTTATGTAATTCTATAATGTTAAGATATTTTGGTGTAAGTTTGTATTACTTTTCAAATTTTATAATTAAAATGGTGTTTAATTCTTTTCTTGCCTTTTTAGTTCAAAATTAATACAAATTTACAGTACAGTCTCACACATGTTTAAATGAGAATTTTTATTTATTTATTTTTGAGAGAGAAACAGAGCACAAGCAGGGGAGGGTCAAAGAGAGACAGGAGACACAGAATCCAAAGCAGGCTCCGGGTTCTGAGCTGTCAGCACAGAGCCCAACGTGGGGCTCCAAATCACAAACTGTGAGATTATGACCTGAGCTGAAGTCAGTCGCTTAACTGACTGAGACACCCAGTGTCCTTAAGTGAGAATTTCTACTTGTATAGGTATAGATTTCCCATGACTAAACCCTTGTTTAACTATTTTACCTGACAAGTATTAATGAAGTATTTTTAATTAAAACCCAAACACAGGCATCACACATTTAGTATAAGATTCACCATAAGCTTATTAGCATCTGACTCTACAAGAGTCAGAGAAAAAAGTCATCTTCCCTATCCAATCTGATAATCAACTTATAAATTACTTAATATTAGTCACCAACAGAATTTTGTTCTTTTTCCCATCCTGCATCAAGCTTTCACATCAAGATATGTAGTATTTGTAAAATAATAGAAATAAAGAAATAAACTGGTACCGCTGATATATAAGCATAAAATATCTAACCTACTATATGATTACAAGTACAAATAACCTAAAATCTTTCAAATTCCATATTTCAAACTGCATTCTCAGAAACAATATGTTAGAAGATTAGTTGTGTTCTAAAAGATAAGGCTAAAAAAGCACTACTACAAAATTTGTTAACATAGAATTATGTTACTTTTGAGAAAGAGACAGAGCAAGGAGCGGGGGAAGGGCAGAGAGAGAAGGAGACACAGAATCACAGGCTCCAGGCTCTGAGCTCTCACCACAGAGACGGACATGGGGCTCGAACTCATGAACAATGAGATCATGACCTGAGCAGAAGTAGGACGCTTAACTGACTGAACCACCCAGGCACACCTATAATAGGATTATAAATATAAATTTGTCACCCTGTATTTGTAATATTTGAAAACTAAACAGAAAGGCTCACCTTCATCCACAGAAAACTGACAGCTCTTATCATTGAAGAAAAGAATTTTCTTTTTATCAGGACGATTTACAAATAGTATCTGGTCCCCCAAAGCCTTAAAAGACAAAAAAACAAAATTTTTTTCAGTTAACTTCCAAATTACCTCCCCCCAACAAAATATTTTTTTTAATAAAAAAAAAAAGTAGTAGTCCTTGTAAGTCTATTTGACAGAGAGAGAGAGAGAGAGAGAGAGAGAGAGAACACGAGCGCATGTGCACCAGGGAGGGGCAAAGAGAGAGGAGAGAGAACCCTAAGCAGGCTCAGCGCTGTCAGCATGCACCCCAATGCAATGCTTGAAACCATGACCGTGAGATCATGACCTGAGCCAAAACCAAGAGTTGGACACTTAACTGACTGAGCCACCCAGGTGCCCCAGGACTCCTATTTCTTTTAACCTTCAGTATACCATTAGGGTCTACTATACCCAATTTTAATTCTCAAATTTCTTTCAATGAGCAATTCTCACTACTTTTATGTATTGATATTTCAAGAGTTTTATTCTTAGAGATTTCCAAAGTACAGAAAGAAACCTTACTTATTTTTGAAAAAATCCAACCTATGTTGCAATTTAATGTAGGTCCATTGGAGCCTTTTATTAATCTAAGAAAAATTGTGTGATCTTAGTGTTCTTACTTTCCCTCTACTTTAAAATATTTTGCCACTTATTTACCATTAGCAATTATTTCCAATTATGCTTTAAAAAGCTAAAATTGTGGGGCACCTGGCTGGCTCAGTCAGTTTAAGTGTCTGACTCTTGATTTCAGCTCATCATCTCATGGTTCATGGTTTTGAGCCCCACATTGGGCTCTTTGCTGACAGCATGGAGCCTGCTTGGGTTTCTCTCTCCCCG